CGACATTGATTCCGGTTAGCTTCTACAACGGTCCGGCATGACTCCGTAAACTGTCCCGACATTGATTCCGGTTAGCTTCTACAACGGTCCGGCATGACTCCGTAAACTGTCCCGACATTGATTCCGGTTAGCTTCTACAACGGTCCGGCATGACCCCGTAAACTGTCCCGACAAAAATGGTAAGTATACACCATTTTTTATATAAATAATGGTATATGACCGATGTAGAAATATATATATATTAAAATAAATGAAAGTTGAGTGGGGTTTGTGGGTGATAAAAAAAAAAAGGAAAAGCTGGGTGTGGTGCTTTAAAAGAAAGAATCTGTGAAGAGGGCATTGATCTGGGTAACACACAACACACTTCCATTCTCTCTTTCTAGTATATGGCGACCATGTGAGTACCAGACAGCTTAACGAGAGAACAGTACGTGCACATGGCTAAACTCGCCGAGCACGCCAAGTGTTACGAAGAGATGATCAACTTCATGGAAAAACTGGTCCTCGGCGCCACTCCAGCCAGCGAGCTCATCGGCGGCGGCTACGTCGGTGGTGAGCTAGCAGGAACCTGTGTCACGGCGTCTGTAGCAGTGGTGACAGGTGGCGTGGTCGGCATTGGCCAGATCACGGCGTCAGTGGCTGTCGCGTGGGCCGACGGGGTGCTCGACGACATGGGTAAGATCTATGTTGTAACAAAGCTGCAGCAAGAAATAGTGATGGTTCACGACAGCAATAAATGTGGCCTCAAAGGTGAGAGTGATGGTCCATGGCAGCAAGAAATGTGGCAGCGGAGTGAAGGTATGTGTAGAGGTCCGGCGGGCAGCCAAGGTGAGGCTGCCGCCCGCCGGTGAAGCAGAATGACTAGGTTCTTAACCTAGCTCTGATACCATGAAAGATAAATTGATAGAGAGAGAGAGAGCGAGTGAATAAATGAGATGTGTATATACTTTGTTAATTTACAAAGGGAGCTTAGCTCTCTTCTTATAGCCTGTGATGTACATTGGATGCGAGGCACCGAAAGCATAAAGCTGAAAACATAAAGCTAAAGTGGTGTACACTAACAAATGTCTAGGCTAATGGGTCGTGACTGTACATAATGGGAGGACAGCTGGTTGCTATGAATAATACACTAAATTATCACTACACTAAATTAACACTAACAGTATGAATGCCGATTGTGCTTGGACAAGACATGCAAAAGAATGCTCTTTTTGTTGTTTTCCTTGTAAATATGATAACATATAGCCACCGTATATGGAAAGCACTAAACTCAAATCAGGATTCGAGAAAGAAACCTGAATATTATTGAGAAAATGTTACAACCTGATTCTGCTGTAAGTTCTGTGATTAAGTTCTTTCATATTTACTGTAAATCCTCCTTCTTTTTCTCCTCCGTCGGAAGCCGGTTCTCTTCCATCTTTCTCTTCTTCTCTGGTAGTGGATATGCACAGATCTAGATCGAAGTTTGCATTTTGCAGTGATTGTACGGAACACAGACCCTGAGGCAGAGGAAACAGAATTCAAGTTATTATTAGCTTATAAATAAATAAATCAAGAAATATATGATTGGTTTGGTTTGGTTGTTTTGGAAGCAAAATCGTGAATGGAGTCAATGAAAAACAAGACTGAGTCAGGACAGAATGCAAAGAAATTACAAGGTAGAAATGAGGGAGTGAATATTTCTTGGAATCCATTGTTCATTTTTGGAAGTTTCAAAAGGGGGATTTGGAACTCTTCGAATGTTCCCTGCTTAAACTCCACAATCCTTTCTCTCTCTCTCTTTACTCTCTCTTCCTCCTCACTCTCCCGCTCTGGTTCACCATCTGACGCAAAAACCCTGGAAAAAAAACTATAGAGAGATCTGCAAATATCTCTTCCAAACTTCCTCTCTCACTCTATATATCTATATATATATATATATATATGTATTGGTCTGTTTATGTATTTGCTGCTGATATTCGATTTGTGCAGAGGGTGTTTGTTATGCCAAGGACTTTAACATTGTGAAGCATCCCGATGTTCCAAATTTGCAAGTAATCAAGCTGATGCGAAAAATGCACCATTCTCTCGCTGGAACCACCAGATCTGTGTTTGTTCTTGTTATTGTTCTGGGTGAGAGGATTAGTATTTCAGCAGACAATACTTTTTTTTTGTTGTTGTTGTTGATGATTGCAAAAGATAAAAAAAATTGACACAAAGAGATTGTTTTCAACAGATAGTAAATGATCTTGGAGATTATTTTATTATTATTTTTTTTGTTCAACATTAATTTTTGAAAACAAAGTTAGGTTCAAAAATTGAACAGATAAAATTTGAATAGATAAGAAAATAAAATATCCGTTTAATTTTTGTTTCAATAGATAGAAAAAAATTGAACAAATGAGGAAATTTTTTAACAAATAGGAAAAAAAATTTGAACACATATGAAATTTTTTAAACAGATGGAAAATTTTTTTGAACAGATAATCAATGAAAATCCACAGATAAATTAAAGGATAAAATTAGAAACAAAATGTTATTGAAAGCAAATAAAAGGACCTGGCCAAGACTGGGCTCATGCCAAAAATGAGGCAGGCTGGGCTGGATGAATTTGCTAGGAGCCCAACTGAAGCTAGGGCCTGGCCAAGACTGGGCTCATGCCAAAAATGAGATGGGCCGGGCATTTACATGATTAGGATCTGGATAAAACGGCATCGTTTCATTGACAATTGGAATTCAAAGCCCACTCTCTTCTACGATCTACCATTGCACAGAACAGAGACTGTATCACCATCTCAGATTCATCACTCTCTCTCATCGTTAGATCAAAAAATTCCCAAATGGAAGAGCTCAAATCAGCTATGGGCGAGCACATGGACCAAATGGCAGATCTAGTCGAGAAACTCACCGCCGAGCTTCGCTCCGGACTTCGGCCGGCTTTCGACAACTTCATCGGCTTCTTCCATGCCATTGATTGGACGGTGCACACCTCTCTCTCTCTCTCTCTCTATATATATATATATATACACAAACATGCGTTGAAAGATATGCATAACCGTGTTGTGGATTTGTTTGTCCAGTCAACTAAATTGAATATAAAAATTCGTTTTGCCTTTTCTTTTTTTTTTTTTTTTTCTTTTTGTAATGATAATAAATTGCTCCATTTGATGGGATTTCAATTGGGATTGTTATTGCACTAGTATTTGTCTAAATTAGACCAAATATGTTGTTTTTCTAGTATAAATCAGGTCTTAAGTTCATGAACCAATTGGTATGTCAATTAGAATTTCTAAGTGGGTAATTGATGGTAATTTGTTACCATTTTGTGGGTAGAATTATTACTGAAAAGAGCTTATCATTGATTGGAAGTTCAAGAAGAAAATATGAGAGGAGAAGTGAATAGAGATAACATAGGAAGTCCACCTAGGGTTCCAAACCAACTGGGAAATGCAATACCTTTGAAGCCTGAGGAGAGGCGTTTGTCGTGAGATAAATAATCCTGGCCCTATTTGGCTGAAAATGATGTTTATTTGACTATTAGTCCAACTTTTATTTTTCTAACCAAACCATGGATTAGTAAAATCTATTGGACATAAAGTCCAATCCCATGCCTCAGTCCCATGAAACAAACGCCCCTCCATCATTTGATTGTTAGGTTACAAAGGAAATTAGAATCTTAATTTGATTGATGTGGAGAAGTGTGCAAAGGGGAATTGGTGTAATGAATTGTTAGGTAAATGGGAAAGGTGAGTGATTAGCCGCAAAAACTGTAAATGTGTGTGACATGGTCGTTAACTTGATTGTAAAATGCCTTCCCTGAATTCAATTCCATTTACAAACTCAGATAATAATGAAACTTTGTTCTTTGTAAATATCTGAAAGTTTCTACATCTCCGAATTCTTTTATTCCGTTTTTTGTAGGTATTTACTAGAATCTTTTGTTTCTCAATAAACACTTGATATTTAATGTGTCACATGGGTATAAAGAACCGGACATTGGAATCCTGGAAGAAGTTGGACAGGTGGAATCAGTGTTTTTGTTTTGATTACGAATGTGTATTGCATCTTGAAGCTCAAACATTTGAATTCTTAGTATTCTTTAACGTGACAGTCTTTCTATTACTTTATAAAATCTGAATGGTAATGCTTATAAATCTATTTTTCTCTAAATTTTTTTCATGATCCAAAATTTGAACACAATACTGCAAATTAGCAAATTATGTATGTAAAAGCAATAGAATATAGAAGTCATAAACATTTTTCTTCTGACTAAATTAAGTTCTACTTAGTTCATTAGTAATGGAGTTTGTGTCTCATCAGCACCTATTTTCATTTTACAAATGAGATCGATTTCGGGTTCTTAACTTTATTTGTTCTTTCTATCCTGCAGGAACCTTGGTTAATATCCTTGATGTCGTTCGATGTTGTGTTGCTACTAGTAGTAATCATCTCAAGGGAGAATATTAATTTTCAGATGTGTTTGTTTCTTCTTGCACGTAAGTTTTTATCTTCATTTGGGTAAATGTGTCTTCTCATATTTGAGGCATTGTGCTATGATGCATGGTGATTTTCCTTCTCGTCTAAGTGAAAATATTGTGAAAGTATTTTCATGGTCATTGGCTCATAATAAGATTAATGTCAATGATTTGTTTTAAAGGAGACCCCCCAATTACTCTTTGCTTCCACAGTTGTGTAGCTTGTCATGTAGGACGGATGAGGAAAGTATTGGCAATCATTTTTTGCAATGTCCGGTGGCTTTATTGTTCTAGGGGAAATTGTTTTGTATGGTGGATGTGGTGTAGGTGTGACTCCTCCCTACAACAAACAGATGCTTTTGATTGAGTATACGGGATTTGGTGCCAATAGCAATGCACATGCTCTTTGGGATTGTGTAACTTTTGCTACATTTGGAAGATTTGGTTGGAAAGGAATGCATAGATAACATTAGGTGACCTGTACAACCCTAACAAGAACCATAATAAAGCCCAAAAGTTGACAATATAACGTAAGTTGACCCAGCTGATCACAAAAAAAAAAATTAGTTGACCCGGGCAACCCATGTCTAGAAAATTTTAAATTTACCAAAATACCTTGCTCTTTAAAATTACATATATACATGTGTGTGTGTGTATGTAAAGATTATCATATTAACACTTAATTTGATTTTTTTTTTAAATGATATTAATACTTAAAATCTAGATAATCATAAAATAGGAGTCTACTAAATGTCTAAGAATAGGCCCAACAGTGAAATTATTCTAATATGCAAAGTCTTTCTTCTCTTAAATTTAACAGCATCGTTCTTATTTGTGTGTATTCTTTATCTTTCCTCTCCCCATATGCTCATGGAAGGGGTGGTGTTGGGTTGGCTAACTCTTCCATCAGCATTACTTTTTTATCATTTTGGCTGCTTTAGAACCTAAAGGTCATGCTTATCTCTTCTTGAATTATGCACATAAGATACTCTGTTGGATGTTGAAATGTTGATGAAAAAAGATTTTATGCCTTTTTTGATAGTTTGTGTCCAACTTTCCTCTTTAACAGTTACAGACTAGAAAAATGGCTATGTTTATTTTTCTTCTAATCTGCAGTATCCCAAAACTACACTGTTCACATAGCCAACAAAACATGCCACCCGTTCAAAAACCTAACTTCGCCTTCATCAACTGTTATTGAACTCTTTATGTGATGAATGTTGAATGAATGGAAAGTCAACTATCAAAAGTTCATCATTTATATCTATATGGATGCTCTTGGGAGATTCAACTTGATTTATATCGGTGATGTGGGGCAGTGGCTGGTGTATATTTTGCTGAGACACTTAATAGTTCTCTGAGAGACAACTGGAAAAGCTTTGCGGGTCAGAATTATTTTGATCCTCAAGGACTCTTTCTCTCAGTGCTCTGGTCCGGGCCTCTTCTCGTCATTGCAATAATAATACTGGTTAGTTGACAACCACTTGATCCTCTCTTCCTGCTCCATACCTTAATATGTTGAACTTCTTACCGAAATGTCTTGATTGTCTTGATTTCATTTACAGGTAAACACCCTCTTCTCCTTATGTTATCTAATTGTGAGGTGGAAAAGAGCAGAGCTCCGACACCGTGCAAGACTTTCACATAACAAGCAGGATTGATTTACTCCTCTGCTTCATTAGCCAAGTAACCTCCTTTGAGTTTGGATAAGAGGCATATCAGTCGTGGAGTTTAGCTTTAGAAGCAGGACCCCTCCTGGTTTCTTTATGAATATTTTTTTTCCCGCCTTTCCTTTTCTTTTTTTTTCTTCCCTTTTCTTGGGGTGTCATCTTGTTTTTAATTTGAGTGACATTTACCTTTTTTTCCTTGTTTTACCCACTGAAATTTTGAGCACCACAGGCTATCAAACAATTGAGCTACTGTTTCTATTATCATCATGCCTACTCTTCTCTCTTCATTGTTATTATTTTTTAAATTTGATCTGGAAAAGCATGTCTTGATTGCTTTAAGCACTTTTTTTTTTTTTTTTTCTTACGTAGCATTTGGTTGGAGGGATTTGGAAAGGAATTTGAAAAGGAAAAGGAAAATGTAAATGAAATACGAATAAAAAATGTCTGCATTTTAATTAGTTTTACACACTTTTTTCGTTTTGTTTTTTAAAATTTTTTTTGCAAATTTCTTAACTAAACACAACGTTAGAGAAATGACGGTAAATTGGTGATTGTGGTGATGGGAGAGAGAAAGCGAGCTTTTGTGGATTGGTGATTGTGGTGATTGGTGAATTAGCAGTTGTAGCGATGTGAGAAAGGATGGAGGGAGGTGGCGGTGGATTGGTGATTGTGCTGTAGAGAGAGATAACGAATTTTTGTATAGAAATAATGTAATATTCAAAATTTTGTTTTTCATAACAAAACATGAAACTTGCTTTGAATATGGAATGGTTTACGATTCAATATTTAACTGATGTGAGATTCATTAGTCTACATCATTTTGTTCAACAAACATGTACGATTTTTATGGGTAATTGATTTTTGAAGATTATTTATTTTATACAAAGTTACAAAAAAATTTTATACCAAAATTAAAAAGGGTTCAACATTTCATACTATTACTAAATGAACGAATAGACAAAAAATAGAGAAAGAGACAGGGATGATGGTATTGGGATTAATGACTATAATATTACAAAAGTTTGTTTTTGGAAAAAAATATTTGAAACCCAATTTTAGTACAAGTTCAATTGTTATTTATTATTTATTTTTCAGTTACACAAACAAATCGGCCGTTATAAGAAATTCTTAACGGCCCCCTTTTCAAAATTTCAATATTCAATTCAAAAATCCCCCCAACCCCTCCCATTTCATTTCAAGAACCAAACCCCACAAATTTCCTTCAATCAACCCCACCATCCATCTCTCTCTCTCTCTCTGCAACTTTTGCCCCCACCATGGCTGCTTCTGATAAGAGAGAAGAAGCACAAGAACAAGAGAAGACAATCCCTGTATTCACTGTCCTCAAGAACAACGCCATCCTCAAGAACATCTTCCTCCTCGACAACCCACCTTCAGTTCCTGATCCCGAACCCTTCAATCCCCTTAAAAATGGCGACCAAGTTCAAGAATTCGAAGAAACCTTGCTAGTTGGACGACACCCAGATTGCAATATCACGTTAGAGCACCCCAGCATCAGCCGATTCCACCTCCGAATCCACTCCAAACCCTCTTCCCACAAGCTCTCCGTCATCGATTTGTCATCCGGTACTTGTTCCTCTCTCTCTCTCTCTCTCTCCCTAATCCCTAATCCCTATATATATCAATTTCTATGTGTTTATGATTAGAGTTCTGATGTGTTCTTGGTTCTTGATTGTTTTAGTACATGGGACTTGGGTTTTGGGGAAGAAGATTGAACCGGGGATTCGAGTAGAGCTGAATGAGGGTGATACAGTGCGGCTTGCTAGCTCAAGTAGGGTCTACAGGCTTCATTGGGTACCGGTGAGCTGCGCCTATGATATGGAGAACCCCTTTGTACCGCCATCAGATGTGTCGGTTCAGGTGGAAGAAAGCAAACGAGAAGGAACACATCAGGTGAGTTTTTTACTGCTTCAATTGGCATGAAATTGTAGGTTGCGCACAAGTTTGTTGAAATGTTCTTGATTTTCTTTTTTATTTTCCTCTCTTTGTTTTGATTGTATAGGATCAGAATGGTTTGTTTGTTGAAAATAACGAAATTCAATTACTGGATAATTTGGAGGAGGGTATGGATTTGGTATTTTGTAATGAGAATTTGATATCTCTGAACAATGTGATACCATCGGCACCTCCATTGCCAGAATACATGAACTCGCCTTTGTTTTCTGATGAAGAAGTAGAAAACAGTAATACTTCCATGAAAGATCATGAACATAAGAAAAGTTTTAGCCGTTGGTCTGAAAATCAACAATTTGATAAAGATATTCAGATCCCACAGCCTTCTGCAGCTATAGAAGTGCAATCCGAGATTAAAAAACTAGAGACCTCCCCTGGAGAGTTGGAGCGAAATTTGAACTTTCTGGAATGCTTGGAAGCTTCATTTTCTCATGAAGAAATTGAAAAGAAGTGCTCGTTGAGAGAAGATTATGATCAGAGTGAAATGTCATGCTTTTTTGATCAACCTCTATTGGAGGAATCTGTAAACTCACCTTTGCCCAGCAGGATTGTTATCTCTAGGATAGATGATCAACAATTGGACAAAGAAAACCAGTGCCCAGAACCTCTCTTAGGCACTGAAGAACTGACTGAAATAGAAAATCCAGGTAGCTTTCCAATGAGATCCGGGCTAAAATTTAGCCTTCCAATAAGCTTGAATTCTTCAATATCTGGTGAAGAAGAAGGCCATCAGGTTGCTGAAGTATTTCATGTAGTTGAGAATGAGGACCCATTAAGAAAACATCATGATTTAGGTGAAATGCCTTTCCTTCAGCGTGGACATCTTGCGACAGAATCTGTGAAATCATGTTTGCCTGGTGGGAGTGCTCTCTCGGAAATCGAAGGCCAACAATTTTACAAAGCAAACCAGAGCCCACAAATTCCCTTTGCCACTGGAGGGTCTCAAAAGGAAGATCTAGGAAGCCCTCTGATAAAATCAGAGCAGAAGTCCAACTTGCTTGGTGGGAGTGCTCTCTCGGAAATCGAAGGCCAACAATTTTACAAAGCAAACCAGAGCCCACAAATTCCCTTTGCCACTGGAGGGTCTCAAAAGGAAGATCTAGGAAGCCCTCTGATAAAATCAGAGCAGAAGTCCAACTTGCTTGGTGGGAGTGTTCTCTCAGACATCGAAAGCCAACAATTCCATGAAGCAAACCAGAGCCCGCAAACTCCCTTTGCCACTGGAGGGTCTCAAAAGGAAAATCCAGGAAGCCCTCTGATAAAATCAGAGCAAAAGTCCGACTTGCCTGGTGGGAGTGTTCTCTCAGACATTGAAAGCCAAAAATTCCACGAAGCAAACCAGAGCCCGCGAACTCCCTTTGCCACCGGAGGGTCTGAAAAGGAAAATCCAGGAATCCCTCTGATAGAATCAGAGCAAAAGTCCAACTTGCTTGGTGGGAGTGTTCTCTTAGACATTGAAAGCCAGCAATTCCACAATGCAAACCAGAGCCCACGAACTCCCTTTGTCACTGGTGGGTCTCGAAAGGAAAATCCAGGAAGCCCTCTGATAAAATCAGAGCAAAAGTCTGAGTTGGCTAGCATTTGGTCAAGAAGAGGTAAACCGTCTAGTGTTCTTCAGATTCAAACTGGCAGGAGTATGGGAAAGAGGACAGGGTCTGACATCAATGCTGAAGTTGAATTACTGCATCAGGAAGATATCGAAAATGATGTGATCTCAAAGGCTCTTTTCACTGATTTAGATGACGACAAAGAAGAAGACTTTACTCCAGACAAAGAGAATTTTACTCCAAATACTCGTATTATGAAGTCCATGAAGAAGATGGGTAAGGTAGAACAAATCATGGATTCCATGTCATACGGATCATCCTCTTTGAAAAATAAGGTAATCTCAAAGGCCGCTTCGACTGGTTTAGAAGAAAACGAAGAACCCTTTACTCCGGACAAAGAGAATTTTACCCCAAATACTCTTCGACTAAGGTCCATGAAGAAGAAGATGGGTAAGGTAGAAGAAAAAAAGCATTTCAAGTTACATAGATCACCCTGTTCGGAAAATGCCATTAACCCTTCAGGCAAAGAGATACAGACACCAAAAGTGCTCCAAGAACAGAAACCGCTAAGGTCTGCCTTTAGAAATCAAGAACGTTTAGAACCACAGGCTATGGTAATGAAGAGTAGAGCTGAAAGAGTGCCGTTTCAGCCTCTACTTGTGAACTCTAGCAGCAAGAGCAAGTCAGAAGCTGCGGTTCTTGGTACCACTTCAAAGAGCAGCAATTATGTGAACTATGTACAAACCATAGGGAAGGTCACCAACACTTTTTATGTAAGTTTGACTGAAAATTTTCTTCTTTTTTATTTTTGGTTCTTTTGACTGTTCTAACTAGGTTTATTTTGCATATGGTCCTGTTTTCTGCTTGCAGAACAACTCTATTGCAGAGGAAAAGAGGTGGACCATAGTGGTGGACACTACTTGTCTTCTGAACAAGGAATCAAGGACAGCATTACAGCTTTTACAAGGTCTCAAGGGGACACAATTAATCATTCCAAGAATCGGTAATAAACATTTACTGAACTTTTTTTCCCCCCTATTTAAGTCAAGTTTATCAAATAAATTTTAAAGATGGATGATACTACTGAATATCAGTCATAAGGGAACTGGATTGCATGAATCGGCGAGGTAGTCTGTTTAGACGATTAACCGAGGTTTCTTCAGCATTACAATGGATTGAAGAGTGTATGGTGAATACAAATTGGTGGATTCATGTTCAGAGCTTGGAGGAGGAGGGAAGGCCTATTGCACCGACCCCACCTGCTTCGCCTCAGTCTCGATTCAGTGAGGGGAATGGCGGGTTGTTCCCTGATGGGCCCGCAAGCTCAGTTCCCTTTTCTGCTTGGTGGAGTTTACTTGAAATTGTTTCCCCAACAGCAGAAGACCATATCCTTGAATGCGCTCTCCTTTCCAGAAGAATTAATAATGATGGACAGCTCGTCCTTCTTACGAATGATGTCACTTTGAAGATCAAAGCCATGGCAGAAGTAAGACTTCACTCTCTCTCTCTCTCTCAGTTCCTGAGTTTATGATGAAATTAGCCACGAACAGCAAGCAAGCTGATTTTATTATTGTCTCTCATTTATCATGCATTCTTTGAATGTTGCAATTGGAATTTGAAAGAAACAAAAAAGGAGGGTGCTGCAGTACCCAGATCAAATTTATTTTTTTACTTTGATGTTTTGTCAACGTGTGTACCCTGATATGCAACGGCATCATTGTGATCTGTTGTGTTTGGAATGAATTTATGTTGTTTTGTTTTTCTCAGGGTTTGGTCTGTGAGACAGCACAAGAATTCCGTGACAGCCTAGTGAACCCATTCTCTGAGAGATTCTTGTGGGCTGACAGCTCTCCGAGAGGAAGGACTTGGTCTTGTGCAGACGATGTTGTTCTATGGGAGAAATATTCCCGCTCCTCAAGGAAACCATCAAAACTAGGAGAAGGCGGCGCCAAAGGTTTAAAACTCATATTGCTCCACAATTCTCGTTATGCACTGAGTTCAGTAATCTAAAATTTTTTTTGCAACAACTGTTCAACCCTCTTCTTTTGAACACTGATTCACAAATTTGATTTGACGTTGCCTCGTTGCATCCGTGCTGTCAATTCTTTTTCACTGTTGCAAATGTTGCTGTTCATTTCATCGTATTATGTGAGGAGGGTTAAAAATTGGTGTTTTGTAGCAATGTTTGTTTTGAAGGATAACAATCTTTTGTATCCATCCAAATGCAATTATAATTTTGCTTTATTTGGCAAGTTCCTATGTGATTGTTTGTTTGTTTTCAGTCTCCCATTCTCCACAAAATTTAAAGACATATTTTCCCATTTGGTTAAAAGTGGCTATGAACTTTATATGAACAAAAGTCAACCTTCTTCCTTTATTTATTTAATTTTGTGGTGTGTTATTCTCACTCCATTTTTTTTAATTGCAGTTTTAATTCTGTCATTTAGTGTGTATCGGAAATGGTAACGTGTAAAACTTAGATAAAAAGATTTTAGAAAAAAAGGTTAATTTTGAACCCCTATAATTTGATTAAAGTTTTACTTTGCTCACTATGGTTTCCAATTAAATAGTTTAGCTCTTCCTAGAAGTTAAAATTAATTATTTGACGACACTTTTCAATCTTCTAAATTTAGATAAAATGACCAAATTGAACCATTTATATTTTAATTGTTTTTTGGGACCTTTTAAGAGTAAGTGCATTTAAAAAGTAAAAAAAGAAAAAAATGATTAAAACAGGAAAAAAAAATTCACTAAATACAAATAAAAATCTGTCTAAAAATATTTTTTTAACAGTAAAACCAAACATGATTTGAATAGAAATTCGCATCTTTACTAATATGCCATTCACGTCTCTTTCTCTCATAAAATAATGAGAGGTTGGAAGCATTAATATAGTTTAAAAAATAAGTTCAAAAGGCCTTTATTTTTTTTAAATAAATTAATAAAAAAATGTATTTATGGTTAACAAGCCGTCAATCGCCAGCGCAAAGTAAATAGGAATAGGACAACAATAACTCTTCACAATTTATTGATTTTGTTCACTTTGGAGGACAATTTGGGCCATTCACATTTAATTCTCATCGCCCTTAAAAAAACAACAAAAAACAAAAACTTTGCTAATTTGTGTAATATTTTCTTAACAACTATATTCCTAGAATTGTATCAATTGATCACCCAAAAAGGGGAAGAAAAAAAAACGAATATTTTTCTTGAGTAGCAATTTATCACCCAAAACTTTCACTTCTCCCCCCAAGAAATGATGTATAAGCTTTGAAGCTTGTAAAATTTGGACAATCCCACAATATCATAGCATCATTATAATTTACATACACAAAGAAGCATAAAAAAATAGAGAGTGAAACAAATATTTAAGAACAAGAAACTACAGGTACAAGGAGAGTCACTTCACCTTATAAATCAAGTTACTACAAGCCCAAAATAAAATTACTCCTCTAAAATCATTCAACATCATTCGAATTCGAACCAGACTCACCTCCTGCAGTCTTCTGAGGGTAATTACACGATCCAGAAATCAGAAATGAGAACGAAGTTTCTGAATCCTCAAATGGAGGTCGTGGGAACTCATGGAACCCACTAAGATTATACGAATCAAAGCTCAATGGCGAGAAAAAACTAGCAGGATCATCCGCGTTCCCCTTAACATCCACAATATTTTCGACTCCATTTACTGTAGACACCATGTTCGAGCCAAAGTTGAGCCCTGCAAATCCAACCTTGTTTGTTGGCTCAACCGAGGCTGACCCTTTCACCTCATCAATTGGAATGGCTGGTGTGTGGCCCTGGAACAGACTAATGTGTCCAAAAAGCTTGTCTTTTCTTGAGAATGTTGTTCCACATGAACACAACCATTTATCCCTCCCACAATGCTTCTCATGTGTTTTGAGATCAGCAATAACCGAGAATTTCTTGGTGTTGCATCGTGTGCAAGTGTAGCTTTTGTCGCAATGAGTCCTCTTGTAATGGTTTTTCACACATAAAATGGTTTTCAGAGGCTGAAATTTTTTGTGCTCTTTGTTTCGCTTGCAACCAGCATAGGGGCAAGAGTACCGCTTGATAAGCATTGGCTCGGAGCTAGATTCCTTGATGGGTTTTGCTAGTGCTGCCGCTGTTTTGTACTCATCCCCATGACCTCTCATGTGCATACGCAAATTAGCATCTCTCTTGAATCCCTTCCCACATATCAAACAAAAGTGCGTGTGAGGCGCGAGGATTTCTTCTTTCTCTAGTTGCAAGATTTCATAGGAACCGGGGGGAAGGTTCTCCCCTTCATCAGGATCTTCTTCGTCTTTCAACTCTTGTTCTTCAGTGCAAATTTGTTCAGTTTTGCAAGTACCGGATATATCAACCTGGTTGGGTCGTGTGGCATTTAAATTTGGGCCCGAAGGAAATATGACTCCGCCAAGCTGCCCAAACTCGCTGATCGAAGGATTTGAAGAGAGGGTCTGCCTCACGGAAGGGAGAAGACTACCTGCAGTTGAAATCAATTGAACGATAATCGAGGTGAGATTAGCACTGATGAGCTGTTGTTGCTGAGCTACGAGTTCATCAGACTGATTCACAACTTGGCCTCTCCGGCCAACAATCAAATGCACCAAATCCTGGAGTTGGTGAATCTTTTGTTCAAGGAACGAGAGGTTGTTTAGCATTGCCCTTGGATCCCAATCTTGCATTCTACTTGCATCATCGCGCCTCTCATTCATCAGATCATCCTGTCGATCTGGGAGGATCTTGGCTGATTACTGGATCGGAAGAAACTGAAGATGGATTCCAGAAGTTGGCTGTTGAATTCTGAGAATTGGGGTTCGATTCTCATACCATAATCTTGAAATGACGGATCTTCCCACTTCTGCTGATATTGCTGCAGATTGAAATTGGCGAGTGATTGGTGATCAGGAGGTACCTTTTTCGGTAATTCATTGCCAGGGGCAGAAGACTTTGTCCTAAGATCCATTTTCAATCCTCCTCAAATATACCTAAATCAATGCTATAGGGCTGAAATATAGGGACAACATAAAAGACATTCATCAGAACTGCAAGGAGAAAAAATAAATTTAAAAAAAGAAAACCAAAACCAAAATGGAATACAACTGAAAAAACCCATGTAGAATTGAATTGATAAAAAGCTTTAAATTCATCACCAAAAAATCATATTAGTATAAATCACCAGCAACTGCTATTGAATCGGTCAATCGAAAGAAGGGAGAGGGAGGGAAGAGACATGTACAAGCTATCATAGGAGGAAGAAAGAGGGAAACCCAAATCTTATTATCATCAATATATAAAACTACAGATCTCACTTTATGCTCACAAGAAAACATTTTTGCTAGCGAACACAAAAATGGGTCATAGAATGTATATGGACCGATAAGATTTTTTAAAAGCAGACCTCACTAGTAAATTCTATAAAATCTTTTTTATTCATATGTATTTGTGTCCGGTTCGGTAACCAAATTATTTGTTCGTAGCAGACTATTTGCTACATACCCTATGTTCTTGTAACCCATAAGAGAAGTACATCCAACATTTGAAGATTTTAACCTAAACCTATAATTCAATAATTACTAAAAAATTAAACACCCTCCAACTCAAAGAATTAGTAACCCACTTTACATTGAAAGTCATCTAAATTGAACAATATATGTACTAAGAATCCTATCCAAAAGAAAAAAAACCCTAAAAAAACCTAGGTTAGAGGCCAAAAACCCTTAATAATTTTTATTTTAAAAAAAAAAAGCCTTAATCTAAAGAACCCTAATAATCTCATCTTCCTACAATCTTAATGAAGATAATACAGGATCGTAAGCATAGTCTAAAGATCGTCAAAACCAGAATATATCTCAATTCACTTAACTTTTTATGAAAACAAATCATCTTTTTATCCCCAATTAAAATCTATTGATCCACCTAAATCCCATTTCAAGATTGTTAGAAGTAAAAGCTATTTCAGCAAAAAGAACATCAAAAGAATCTCAATCTAAAAAAACCCCTAATAATCTCAACTCACAGCAATCTTAATGAAGATGATACAGGTTCCCAAACATCATTTCCAGATTGGCAAAACCAGAAAATATATCAATTCCCTCAACTTCTCATGAAAAAAATAATAAATAAATCATCTTTTTCCCCCCCACCCCAATTAAAATCTAACTGATCCACCTAAATCCCATTTCAAGATAGTTAAAAATAGAAGCTATTTCATCAAAAGATCCTAAAGATACTCAAAACACCCGCAATCAGAAACTAAGAAGTAAAGGGTTAATAATTGAAACTGAAGAACCAACTCAAAAAAGAAAAAAGAGATGGAGAGAGAGAAACTCGCCAGATTCAAGATTGCACTGAGAGAGAGAGAGAGAGAGAGAGAGGAAGGGAGGAATGAAAAGAGAAATGCAGCCGAAGTGAATCAATATGATGATGAGCATCTCTAGTACCAAAGAGATTAGTAGTTTATTGGGTCCTGTTTCATTAGATGTAAAACCCATCAATCAGCACCGTTGATTTTTTGGCAAATCTGATTTGATTTATTTGATATCATGCAAGCTAGCTTATTTTGTCTGTAGGTGAAAATAGCAATAATACTAGTGGGACAAAAGGTTGAATGACTCTGATTGGATTTGAGCATGGACCCACCAATTATCTTGGATGATTCTCTCCTCCCTTTCTTTGTCTTTCTCTTCAGAGAAAATGTTATACACTTTAAATTTTTTATTAAATAAATAATTAAATATTTTACCAAGAGAATTCACAATTTATATAAAATATTTAATTATTTATTTAATAAAAATTTTGTATTCTTAATATTACCCTTCTTTCTCAGTTCTGAGAAATTGGGAATCTTCAACAAATTGCGGCACTTTGACTAAATTTAAGTTTTTTTATTTTTTATTTTTTATATTCAACAATTAAAATCAGAATTGAAACTTATGGATAGAGAGTTTTTGCAAATCATTTTTTTTAAATATAAAATATGAACAACGATTAATTTGAAATTGAATTCTGGTCTAATTATTTAATTTGTAATAAAAAAATATAAATGGGAAGGGCTTTTCCCGGTTTTCTTGGCTGTTTTAGCCACAAAAGACAAAATAGGCTATTTTAGCCACAAAAAACAAAACATCACATCCAATCCATAATCATTACACTCTTCTCTCACAAAAAAATTCAAAAAAGCCAAAAAACTAAAAAGTCTTTCCCAAACTAAGTTTTTTAGCCCAGGTTAAAATAGCCAAAAAAT